GTTTATCTTTTATCTACACAAAATCTTCAATAAAAATTATACCAAAAAAAGGAAGCCATAAGAAAAGAATCTCCATGACTGCTGTATTTCAAGAACAAGCCATTTAGAAACAATATTCAAACTCTGCTGTTTTTCTTTCTCCTTCCCATCTAACGTAACAGGGTTACTCAAATCTTTTTTGAGTAAGAGGACCTTTTCCATCTGTCCCTTGTTTTTGCAATGGTCATATTCATAATTATACTGAATTTACTGATTGTGTTGAAAACTAACTCTCACATTCATTCAGAATGTTTCATAATTTTTCCCAAAGCTCATACTTGTTTTTTTTTTCTTCATTATCACTATTCACTGGTACATAACATGTAACTATCACTAACTTAGGAATTCCTACGTCCTTATACACCCACAATGACCATGATATTGATTCATACCTTCTGAAAAACACTATATCCTTTTTATTTACAATAAAACCTCCAGTTCCATGGATTTATTTCTCAACGCCATTACACAAGATCAACTCTCATTTCTCTTAGTTTCATTAATACCTAACATGTGTATTTCATTTTTATTTCATTTCTTAACTCATGCTGTTTATGATACATGCTTTTTACAAACCACTTCACAACTTCCACCATCCACCACTGCTTTGATCCACTGATTTTTTACATAATGCTTTTAATAAGATAAAGAATATACAAGGTTAACAGCCTTAAATATACTCATGCCACTGCAAATGGTAAGAACAGTACTGGTCAGTTTTGTCACATTTTGCTCACAATGTTACAAGAGCAACCAAAGCCCAGTTATACCCCAAGCATACCCACACTGTTACACGTGAAGAAGAATCTCTAATGTAGAGATTATCTTACAAGCCAAGATACTTGTCCATATTCCCTCAACTATGAGGTACATGCCACTGGAACACTCAGAATATATTCAGCACTATCTAATGAAAGACAATATAAAGCTCAGTGCATTTATAGAATATAAATCAATTTCCCATAGGTATGAACAATTAGCGTAACTTAGCAGTTCCCAAGCTTTAAAGCTAGCAGCAGGTTCTCAAAGCCCTGAAATTATTTCAAGGACAAAAGAATAATCCACTAAAGATCAGTGGCACCCAATGAAATACTTAATATTGTTTCAGAGGAAAGTTGTAATTATTTAATCAGCTTAAATCTATGGAATGGACAAACAGCAGGAATAACTTGTTTGGAGAGGGAAAAAGGATGCAAACAACAACAGCTTTATCTCTTATTTCAGTCACCTAATCCTATGAGGCAGTAGAAGCCTGAACCCAGTCTGGAAGTACTGAAGGTAAATAAGAGCAGCAGCAACAGCAACAATACCTTCAACAATTAATTTCACAAGATCAAGGTCACACATAAGCCAGGATATGACATATCTAAGGAAGCACCCAAAAGTGTTGCCACCAAACAGCCCCATCTGAAAAAAGCAGGTATTGTCACATTCGACCTACTTGCAAGTTACTGTAAGATTCTTCAATGGCATCTTATGGTTTCAGACATTTAATTGCCACAAAATGTGGCAATAAGAATATTAGTAAGAGTGAGTTATCTCATTTCTTCTCAGTCCTGTATCATCTACACTTGGCTAGAAATGGTAACTAGTTCAGAAAACTGGCCTCAGTCTCCAGAATTTAAACAGTTTAGGATCCAGTTATTTAGAACAGCTGTACCAGTATTAACCCACCCAAGCCATAAAAATCAATTTCAGATATCAGTCTCAGAACTAACAGAGTCAGACTCTTTTCAGCAATATCTCCATATCTGTAAAGTTCCTTCCTCCAACACAACAACAACAACCAACAACGATGATGATGATTTTGGAAATCAGCAAGAGAAGACCACCAACTTGAATGTAGCTTGGATTGATTACAAGAAGGCATTTGATTCCCTGCCACATGATTGGCTAATCAAGTGCCTAGAAATAACAGGAGTTAGTAGTCACATCAGAAGCTCTGTCCAAAGATCAATGGCACAATGGAAGACACAGTTGCTGGTCAATGGTGATAGATTGGGAGAGG